ATAAGTTTAATTAATTTGTTAATTATATAAATTTTAATATTGTTAAATGTACGTTAGATTATATTATTTTAATAAAATGATTATAAATATTAAATTATAATAATAATTAACATGTAAAATCTACATAAATAAAATTTTTAATTTAATAATTAATTTTTAAAAATATAAATTAAAATAAATTCTTCAAAAAAAAAGGTTAAACCCCCATTTTAGTCCCTTAACTATTGTACGAACCCCTGACTTAGTCCCTCAACTCAAAAAATCCCTGATTTGGTTCTTATTGTTTACCATTTTAACTCCGATTTGATCCTTCCGTTAAAAAACCACTTACGTGTCTCCTTAGTTAACGAGAAAAGATGACATGTAAAAATATTTTGACATGTAGGATTGACAGCATGGCATATAAAATTTTGACACGTCATTTTTAGTAAAAATTAAAATATTTAAAATTAATTATAAAATTAAAATTACTTTTTTGCCTTCATCTTCAACCACACATCAATTTCTTTCCATTTTCCTTCCATTACCCCTTCTTTCTCATCTCTAGCATCTTATGTTCATCTTCTTCCCCCAGATCTTTGTTCATTGGGAGATTTTGGGTTCGATTCATGAACCCAGCAGGCATCGCTGGGTTCGTCGATTGAACCAAGGAGCACCTGCTGGGCTCGTTGATCAAACCCAAGAACACTTGTCGAGTTCGTCGAATGAACCCAGGAGAACCTGCTGGGTTTGGTGGGTTCGATCGTCAAACCCAAGAACGCTAGCTGGGTTCATCGATCTAACCCAGGAGCACTTGCTAGGTCTTGCTGGGTTCGTCGATTGAACCCAGCAAGTGTTCCTTCGCCTATTGGGTTTGTCGATCGAACCCAAGAACGCTTGTTGGGTTCGTTGATCAAACCCAAGAGCACCTGTTGGATTCGGATATTGGGCTCGTTGATCGAACCTAGCAGGCACTGTTGGGTTTGATTGAAGAACCCCTGATGGGTTTGATTGAAAAATGATAGGTTCGATTAAAGAACTATTACTGGGTTTGATTGAGAAGACCTTGATTTTTCTAGGTTTTTTGGAAGGTTGAAAGGGCATGTCTATTTTGGGGAGATTCTGGGTTTATGTTTGATGTCTGTGTTATACTTGGATTTGATATTAGAAAGTGTTTGGGTTTGCAGAAGGTGAAAGGAAAGGAAAAGGAAGAAGAAGTCGTTGCTGGGTTTGATTTCAAACCCAACGCACCTACTAGGTTCAATCGACCCAGTGACTACTGGGGTTTGAAAAAACTCAATTGTGCTGGGTTCCTTTGAACCCAGTTTTCAAACCCAACAAAAGAGAGAAATTGGAAGGGTCTAAATTTGGTGTTGGGGGAGGGATAGAGAGAGAAAAAAAATGAAAGGATGAAATTGCAGGTTTCATTGGGGGTAATTGCAAGTTTCCCTTTTAGAGTTTGTAGAAGGCAAGGAAAAAAAAAAGAGAATTTTTTAAGTATTTTTTTGCCATATCATCCTTTTTTTGCCATGCTGTCTTATTGCGTGTATTTAATATGTTGACATGTCATCCTTTCTCGTTAACTAAGGGGACACGTAAGTGGTTTTTTAACGAAAGGACCAAATTAGGATTAAAATGATAAACAGTAAGGACTAAATCAGAGATTTTTTGAGTTGAGAGACTAAGTTGAGAGTCCGTACAATAATTGAGGGACTAAAATGGGGATTTAACCAAAAAAAATTTAGGAGTTTTGAACACTGCACTCACCTCTATTAATTATACCCTTTCTGAGAAAAATCGAATTTTTAATTTTATATGTGATTTAGAGAAGCAAAGTACAGTAGAGAGTACGTGTAATTTCAATCATTAATGTACTGTCAAGCGTTTAATGGCATATTCGCAATTTTCATTAAAATTTAAAATCACAATTTCAATTCTCCATTGAATGGCTGAAAGATTTAGCTGTTTAGTACCTCGTTTTTCAAATTTCCCCCAATTTTTCGATCCGTCCGCCCATCTCTCTCTCCCTCTTTAAAAACATCTATCCCTCCATTCTTGATTTCAGCTTCTCTTCTTCGTCCTCACTCTCTCCATGCCTGCAAGCAGCACTTCAATTTTCATCTTCAAATTCCAGAAATTTCTAGATTAATTGTTCTTGTTTTCGTGTCTATAGCTGCGATACTTCTTTTTTATTGTTGTCTTTGTCTTTAATGGCGACATCGGCTTTCAAGTCAACTTCCAAGAGGACGTCGATAGGGAAATCAGCGGAGGACTCGTCATCCTTCGGCCGGACCTCCTCGAACCGCCGTGCTCGGAGTCTCAGCCGGTTCTCTCGCCGGCCTCCGCAAGAAGAGTACAACGATGATGAGTCTACTCCAGCGCCGCCTACCAGAGGGAGATTTGTCAATAAGGTGAGGGGATCGGGGTTCCCGGAGATCAGCCTCGATGATCTCGCCATCGAGTTGTTTGACTCTTCCTTGAGACGCCGCTCGAATTCGCGGAATGCTGACGTCAGCCCCAGGAATGGAGGAGGAGGAGAGAGTGTAACACAGAGAAGGGGGCGGTCGGTGTCGAGGCACACGTCAAGAAGCACCGGTGGCAATAGCGGTGCCGTGGGAAGAGGAGTTTCGGAAAGTGCCAACTCCAGGAGGAGAAGGTCGGTGTCTGTTGCGCGCTATCAGATTAGCGATTCCGAGGTGATTCTTTGATTAACTTTTCTCGCTTTAATTGTTTGCGATTTGTTTTATGATATATGCTTCTTATTGGCTCATAGTGTGATTAGCTAAATGGCCATTACCAATTTACAAGTGCTTAAAATGAGTTGATTGAGATTTGCACCTCTTACTGTCCTTGGAACTGTATTATCAATTTATCACTAGTCATTTATTTGATTCTTTTGTAAGAATTAGGGACTTGAATTTCTATTTACTTGTTCGGCTGTCAATTTTGCATATATTGAAATAAATTTATGTTAACAAACCAATGGCATTTTCATCTACTCAGCTGTGCATTAAATAATGTGGTCATCTGCAAAAATGGTATAGGCATCTTTGTCAATTAATTGTGGTCGGTGTATATAAATTCCATTATTTGGTTGTTGTATGCACACATTTCATGAGAATATTTTGTAGGGGTTATAGGTGAGATAGCTGTGGCTTCTCTGCCATTTTCAAAATATTTTCTCTATTTAGGTTGTTACAGTCAAGTATATTTCTACGTATGTAAAGTTCAGTTAGTTTGCATGTTGTTAGTGAGTATGTGTGGCTAGATGAGGTGAACTTTATTGATGGTATTTATGAGATCAAGTGAAATTTTTGAGTTTTTACTACCTAATTCTTTGATTATACTGTTTCTATCCATATCTGACACTTTAGACTGATATTAAAATTGAGTGGAAATTGCACTTAGGTTTGCCAGTGAAGCATCAAACATATAATAAATAAAAGTTTCATTGCTGGCGTGCCCTATTTTGAGGATTGTAATTGCTTAAGAGATGCCTTTAATTGGAGAATGTTTTGAACCTTTGGTTTGGTTGTCTTATTCAATATTATGCTTTGTGTTCAGTCCATTTTCTTGCTTTATATGACTAGATCAAGTGGAACACTTAAGTTGACTCATAAAAATAAAATCTCTTATTATATGAAATATGATTATACTGTAGGTTATTTGTAGTTTCTCATTAATAAACTAAATTGAATATTTAACCTGTGTCACATATGTACTCCTTTTCATTATGTGGCAGAGTGATCTAGATCATACACATAATTCAAGCAATCATGGCAAAATTAGGAGTTCCACGGGTGGAAAAAGTCAGATACCCTCAACACATAAGCCAACAGCTTTAAAACACAACCCAGGACTAAGAAGGTCTCTTAGCCAGAGGGACTTGAAGTGTCAAGATGACTATTCTGTAAGCATTATCCATTTATGTTGTCTTTCTGTTTATTTATTTACATTTTGTTTTGTGTGTCTTGGGGGGAGGGGAGATCTGTTGGGTTGGCTTTTACTGTTAATATCTTTTAACATCCTTTAAAAAATTCTTCATTTCAAATTGTTTAAGAATTATGATATGTAAAATTTCTATTGAATCAGAGCCACTCTTCTGCTTTAACTGATGATGAGGGGAAAGATGCCTTCTGCTGTAAAAATGGGATTGAGAAGACCATACGGGCAGTTTATGCACAGAAAAGGGTTGGATTTCTCTTATATAAAACACATTATGAAAGAGATCTGGTTGAGTAATATTTTCCATGCATCTGTTGCTTATTTTTAACTTTTCTTGACCCCTAGGTAGAACATCCAACTGGGGATTTGAATACAGAATTGTATGAGGCAATGCGAAAAGAACTAAGAAATGCTGTGGAAGAGATCAAGACAGAACTTGAACAGGTTTATAATGCTTTTGCCCTTTGGATCTGCATTTATTTGTGAATATATGCATTTTGTATTACACAAGCAAAAGTTGCTGCATCCTTAGCCTTGTTTCCTGAACTGTTTAGAGTTACAACTTTTGCAGAACACAAAAAACCCTCAGCTAGCAAATAATGACTTTTTGCAGTCTGAGAATTCTGATGTTCTTCAGGCTGTTTCCACAATTAGAAGGAAATATGCAGCAAAATTGGAAAAGGTAATTAATGTAGTATTTATGATGATAACTTATCAGTACTAAATGCACAATACCATATTCTGTGCTTAATGTTTTAAAGTATTGCCTACTTGTGGAAGCACTTGAATTAACCAATAAAATAGTATAGTTTTTTCACTTGTATATCAGCCTTAAATTGTGGTCTCTTAGGATGTTATACCTGCCAGAGCTTTCCATGGTTGTCACTTCCTAACCCTTTTTATAACCTTTTTCTAGGGTCAATGTTATGGGTTTAAACTTCAAACTTGGAAATTACGCAGAGTAATTTATTGACACTCCCATTTACCAAGATATATGATCTTTTACATGTTGCTTGTTGTATATTGTATGGTTTATAAAAATGGTTGTGTTGTGTAGAATATTTTATATTGTTAAAAATTGTCTGATTTACATTGAGAGCAGTTAATTTGAGCTTGTAGTCTATGTTCAATCACCACAAATTTGTGTCCCTTGCATCCTTGCTGAAAGTGCTTCTTAAAATTGCACCGCTATATTGGCTTTTAGTTTATGATTTGTGAAGAGTTTATAATATCAGGAGCCTATCTAAGAGATTTTATGAATTAGTCCAATCATTTCATTCAATTTTTTTCCTTATATTTAAATTTCTTCTTTTTTTATTCTTTTAAAAAAAATTGATAGTTATATATATCTTATTTCTTGATCCTCTAGTCAGAGAAGCGTAAACAAGATTTATTAGCTGAGATTCTGTTGGAGGAGCAGCATGGCAAGGAGCTCACTAAGATTTTCAAAGAATTGCTTCCTGATACAAAGAACCTTGCTGCTGAAAAACCAACTCGAATTAGAAAGGTGCAATTCCCCTCTTTTGTTTCCTGCAAGTGTGTAGGACTTGGTCTTTCTTATTCTTAGGTCCTTGAAATTAATTTGTTTATAACATAATATTGGGATGAATCTTTGCTGCGAGAATAGTGATTGATTTTTCTATTGACTGCACGAACAATGTACCCAATTATTTTCCAGAAGAGTAATGACAAAAATAGGATGTCCAAGAGGCTGACTGAGGAGGCAGAGAAATATATTGAAGACTTCATTTCAAATGTTGAGGATACTGATATTTCATCTTTAGATGGAGAAAGGAGTGATACCAGTTCAAGTTTAGGAGGAATAACAAAGACACCGACTTTCCAGCGCACGCCAATTAGGCCAGTTCCTGCTCAAATGGATGGTGTGGTCTTGCCTTGGTTGCAGTGGGAGACTTCTAATGATGCTTCTCCTTTACCATCCAAGAATAACTGGGATGCAACTCAGGTAAAATCTCTGACTTGATGTTATTAGTTGTGGGGAGGGTTGGACTTCCGGTTGAAAGAGGTTATATTACCAATTTCATTTTGTTTAGCATATTTTTCTCTTGCTTAGGTCACCTGGTCAATGAAACCTTGCAAATTAATGTAACTCCATACATAATTCTTTCGTTTCTCTCTTCTATGTTTGCCTCTTACGATAGGGAGCAAAAGATTCAATTATTCATACCGCCAGCAGCCGTGGAAGTTGGAGCCCATTCCCTGACTGCCCTTCAGTAAACAAGAAAGACAGTACAAGGAGTAGTCTCCAGAACCAATTCCCGTCAAACGGGACTAAAAGGCTGCTGTTAGATGTGGATGATTATCTCCAGCTTAAAAGTTGTGAAGATTTACTTTATGAAACATGGAGTCAAAGACATAGGATTTGTTCAGGTGGTCTTTCGCTTTGTAGCAAGATGTACTTCTAGCAACAATCTCCTTTTAGATGTGTTCTGATCTAATTGAAACTACAGACTTGCTGTGTATAGTTATTTAGATTTTTTTACATCTAATGAAGTATCATTAAATAGTTTTTATTTATTTTTTATTAAATCTTTCGAAATGTAAAAGTGGCTGTCAAATCTTAACTAATTTAGAGTTTAATTGTATCAAATTTTAAATCAAATCTCCTAAAAAGAAGTTTTTTTAATATTTGTTTTTTTATTCATAAAAATTAAATTAGTAAATTTTTATTTATTCACTCTAATAGACTTCAGTTTAAACAATCTCCTTTTATCCTTTAAGCTCCTTTTATCCCGGGGCCTGTGATAAGCCTTTTATTTTAATAATTTTCAGTTTAAATTGATCAAGTAGTTCAACTCTACCTAGCAGTTCGAAAGAAGCTGTTACAAAATAATAATTAGTAAAGTTTTGCATATTAATTATTCTTTCCATTCAAAAATAATTGTTGGTTTTTTATTTTAAATTTATTTCAAATTAATTATCATTTTTTTATTTTTTAAGATAAATAAGTGTTTTTTATTTTAATCATATTATTACTTATTCACATTAATTAATTATTCAATTACAAAAAATATCTTTTTGTTTTTTATTTTTTTAAGGGTATTATAGATAAATATAATTATTGTATTCAAATCTTTCATTTAGAGAAAAAATTTAAAAACTACAGTTATTTTAATATAGATAAATTGTAATTATAGAAATGTATTGTGTAATTTTCAATTACATTGAACTATACAATTTAAATTGTTAAATTGGGTGTCTCTTTGATATTAAAGTTGTCACCCATTTAATAAACAATTCAAATTATAAAATAAGAGATTTTTATAATTATTACTCTGTAACACCTTAGTTGTTTTATTTTCTAAATTAGGTAATTGAGTTGCCCCAATTACTAAATAAGGCTGACTTAATTTAGTTGTCTTTTTTTCTTTCTAATAAGACATTAAATGTTATAGTAATATTTTAATTTAGTTAAACCCATGTCCTTCAATTATTGTACAAATAGGAGATTTAGTCCCTAAATTTAAACAATCTCTATTTTAGTTCCTAAAAATTAAAATTTGACTCTTTTTGGGTCGTTCCATTAAACCTTTTATGATATGATATGGTTTGCTTTTTCTTTTTTTCTTTTTTTATCTTGGTTGCACAATAGGAGGCAACCATTTCTTACCCTTTATCTCATTCTACTCATATACGATGAGAGTCAAATTCAGGATCTCTTATTTTCAACGGAAGAAAATGACCATTGAGCTATTTAGACTGTTAGCAATATGGCCTGTTAAATGATAGAAGAAGCATAATTGGTTAAAAAATTAAACACACGAGGATAATGACATGGAAAATAAACTTAAAAAGAGATGCTGATTAGGATAATTAATAAAAATATAAACTTACAAACCTAAATTACTAAAACACCCTTCATCTTCTTCCCTAAACCTTATCCTTTCTCTAGATCTCCTCCTCCTATCCCAAACCTGATCTTCCCTCCAAATTTGATTCTTTCTTCTAGAGTTGGTCCACAAAAAAACTAACACTATGCTTGGATAAAATTAGTAAAGAAAAATGAAGGATAGGGAGGGGAAGTAAAGAGAGAGAAAGGAAAGGAGAGTAAAGCATTAGTATTAATTTTATTTAGATTGATTAAAAAGGAAGAAGGAAAGGGAGGGAGGGAAAGGAGGGAGGAATTATGTTTTTTATTTAATTAAATAAAATAAAGAAAAATAATTATAAAATTAATTAAAAATTAGTAAATTTATATTTTAAAATTAAAGCTAAATATAAATTTTAATTATATTTTTTTAAAAAAATTAATTATATTTAAAAAAATAAAAAATCTTCTCTACTCTTTTTAATTTTAGTGTTGTGGTTATAAAAAAAAAAAAAAATTTAAAACTTCAATTCACTCCCCACTTGGAATATATTGAGTCAATATGTCCTAAAAAAGTATTTAATAATTTTAGAGAATGTTGTTTTATAATCTATTTTACATAAACTATACTTTTTTTACTATTGATAAAATAGTGATTCTCAATATCAAAGATCTAACCTTCTATGAATAATTATAAAAAATCTACTTCATATAAGACAGATTGCACTCACCTTTATGTTAATTTTACTATATTTCATATCGATAACAAATGAAAATTTATTTGTATGTTATATTTTGGATCAAGTTTGCTTGAAACCAACATTTTTGGGCTGGGTAAGAAACAAATTCAAACCTGTAGTTTTGCACAGCTGGCAGGTAGGGTGAGCAACGAGTATAGAGATACATTTGATGCGTTATATAAGTATTTATCTATACTTAAAAAGTGATGGCTAAATGTCAAATATGGAAAATGTATATCTATTAAGAAATGGGTCAAATACTAGGTATAAAGGTATATACGTACATACTTGATATATAAAATACAAATAAATATATGTTGTATATGAATAAATATGAGTGAAATGTTTATTAGCTGGGCATATAAAAATTAAAAAGTAAAATACTACAAAATCACTTCAAAATTACTTCGTTTTATTAAACTTTAATTTTAAAAAATAAAATAATATATTTTTAAAGAAAAAATAAGTTTTGTTTTCAGGGTGTTTGTTTTAATTTTTTAAAAACAACTATTAATTGTTGGCTTTAATAAAATGGGATAGTTGATATATAATCTATTAAGAAGACCTGTCGGCCTAGTGGCCCAACAGTTTAATGTAAGCTTTCTTCATCATAGCAAGAGTTCGAGCCTCCTCCCCACCCCTCTCTCCTTGAACCAGTTGCCCTAATCAAAAAATAAAAAATAAAATGGGTTAGATATTTTAAATTATAAATATTAACAATTATCAACCATCAGATACTAATTATCCATTATCAACTATTTCAAAAAAGTTAATCCAAACAACCTATTAATTTTTTTACAACCATCAGATACTAATTATCCATTATCAACTATTTCAAAAAAGTTAATCCAAACAACCTATTAATTTTTTTACATAATAGTTTAATTGAACGATGTTAGATTTAAATTATTTTCCTTCTAATCTTTTAGAGATTTGGCTAATACACTTTACTCTCTGTCACTCTCTCACTTTCTCTATATATGTAGGACTCACTTATACATAATTCATATACACAGTTTAATATATATGGGGAAAAGTATTTTGCATGTCATACTCTATTTTTTTTAGTACTTAATTAAAAACTCATCTTTTAATTAATATTTTTAAAAACCAACTGTTTAATAGAAAATTCTATTCATATAGATTGAGCATGTCAACTTTTACATTGGCTTAATGGGCCTGCTAACTAATTTATTAATTATATAAAATTTAACAACATTAAATGTATGTTCATATAGAGTTATTTTATCAAAAGATTATAAATGCTAGATCACTATATGAAAATTAACATATCTGATTTATATGAATAAATTTTTTTTAACAATAGTTGGTTTTTGAAAATATTAATTAAAAAGAGAGTTTTTAAATAGGTTCTTCAAAAAAAAATTTTTTTTTGAGAGAACTACCTAGATTATATTAACCATTTTATGTGTGTATGTATATAAAAGAGATCTACTTACATAAAAGTCTTACA